TGTCGAAAAGTAATTTTCGGTATTGTGGATTCTACTGTGTGAATAGTGGGTGGGGCCCTTCCTAGAAAGTCGACTGTGGATATAGATTTCGACTCTTTGAACGCCTTGGTATCATGTACCAGCAATTACTTTTGATAATACTGTAATCTTCGTGTCAGTATTGCTACATTGCATGATTTGTAACTTTTTGTATTATATACTTAATTTTTCATTCCTCTTTTGAAATTAACTTGGTACTCCTGTTGGAAATAAATTGCTCTTTTTTATCTAATTCGAATCTATAACTGATGTTTGGAGTACCAACTGAATAGGAAAAATTATTTTTTGTTTAACTCAATGTTCAAATAGTAGTTTTTTCGATTTTTTTTCTTTCATCTAATCCAATGTTTATATGAAAGTAGATGTTTTGAGTCCGTAAAGTTTCAAACAGTTACTATTATTCCAAGGCTCAAAACTTCGAAACCCTATTCAAATCCAAATTGAGTTTTTGAAAACGTTCAGATTTTTATTTTGAAATCAGACGATCACTGCTATTCAACTCATTTCTCCTCCAAACTTCAAAACACAAAAGTTGGCATTATTTCTGTTACTTTTCAGCCTAAAACAAATTCACACTATGAAGCTTGAATTCAAGAAGTCGCTGCACTCACTAGACATTAATTATACACTTGCTTTCTCAGTCTATCCATGTATTCGTTATGCTCGCTTCACTTGTTTTTCTTTGTAAGCTCGAATTACAAGCGAGTACTTCAAGGCTTCCTTAATTGGCGCCTTGCCTTTGGTAAGAAATTATATTCTTTATGGAAACTGTAGCTATATTTTACATGTTTTTAATTGGACAAGAACTATCACTCTATGAATCTCTCTAGGCCAGTTCTCAGAATTTAAAAAAAATTATAAGCAGGTGATAAAAACCTAATAACTCGACGTTCAGTGCTTTTTCGAATTGTTATGTTTGTTTTACTATCAATTTTCAGTGAGAAAACAAAATATAGTGAAAATTCACCAGACATACACAGAGTATTTGAAAACTTTGGATACGAAAAAGATATGTTTCAATAATTTCGCAAATCACGAGATCTAGATCTAGATTCAGAAATTCAAGTCACAATAATTGAAAAACAAAGCACAGATACAACTCAAAGGTAGGGAACACTTGAAAAATTATTGGAAAATTACAAAATTTCAGAAATTATTATTGCTCAACTAAACCAACTCAAATATTACCCTTATTGTAGGTTCGTAATCAGGCCATTTATTACTGTCAAATTTTCATAAATTTCTCTCCTATACGTCTTGCAATATTTGTTGACGCTCTTCGCAGAAAGTCACCCTGTATGGAGTTTGATGGACAAACTGTGAGAAAAATATTTCCTTTCAAATTTTTTGGGAGGATTATTTGTAACAAAAATATCACAACACAACAAAGTTTTTGTTTCGGGGTTGAAATTAGATGATTTTAATGTATTTCCACGTGTTAAAACCGAAAGTGACCATAAAAATTATATATTAGCTCTTGTTTTCAAGATATAGTATCATTATATTATATATATGTATATTGAGTTTTCAACAAATGAAATATTTCATCACCAACAGTTGGTACACATGTTTGTTTACATAACACCCCTCTCATCAGCTGTTCTTAAGTAGTAAACATAACCTATGTGAGTTTGTCAATTGTA